CAGTGCATCACAATCCACCCTGACCCTCACCCGGAGTCACCCATTTTGATCAATTTTTCAAAATTTGATAAAAATCTTCAAAAATAAATCAGCAAAAAATAAAAAATTACAAAAAATGCATAAAATGATAAAATTTTGAAAAATTATATATTTTGACTAAAAAGTCAAAAATTGCAGAAAATACATAATGATAAAAATTGCAGAAAACACAAAATTATAAAAAATCAAAACATATATATTTCAGCCAAAAATCATAAATTGCATAAAAATGATTAAAACTTAATATATATATATATATATATATATATATATATAATAAACTTAATGATAAAAATGTATAAAACACAAAATAATAAAAAATTCAAAATTTATATTTCAGACAAAAGTAAGAAAATGCAAAAATTAATAGAAAATTGTATAAAATTATAGAAAATGCAGAAAATTATAAAACATGCAAAAATATAGAACATGCAAGTTTTTTGCAACAAAATGTAGAAAAAATGCAAAATTGGGAAGACATTCTTTGATTAAGGAAGTTTACAAAGAATGCAAAAAAGAGCTCTCTGAAATCCACCATCGTGAATTGGGGTGCAACTTGGGCAGGCCCAGCGCGAACCCGAACTGGCCCAACCCGAAATTTTACACGGGTTGAGCTTGGATTTTCGGTCCTCGGGCTGGGTTCGGGCCCAAGAAGTTGGGCTTTTTTATTTTTCGGGCCAGGCTCGAGCCTAGCCCTTAGGTAGCCCGAACCCGACCCAATTATATATATAATTTTAGAGTGGGTTCATTGACCAATCTGAACTTGGTCCGGGCCTGAGCCCAACCCAAGTGCATCAAATAATAGGGTGGGCTGGGCTCAGGTTAGAAAAACTGGGCTTAACCTAAGGCTCGGGCCTTAAGCCCAAATTTTAGGGCCAGGCCTGGGTTGACCATAAACCCAGCCCAACCCGCCCAACTTGCACCCCTAATCGTGAGGGGCAACCCAAATCAACTCTAGTGGATAAAAATCAAGCGATTGAGTAGGACGCTTTTCGACCAAGAAAATTCAGGTTACGACATGGGTTCCAGCTCCAGCTCTTCGCAGACCTGAAGAACCATGCATCTAATGATACGACGACAGTGATAAAGCAATAGTTGTAGAGCAAGAAAACAATATGCCAACCAGCAGCTTTTGTAAGGTCTCCTGCTGGTCGTAGCAGAGATTTTCGATCCAGAGCAACGGTTGTGTAAAAGTTGCAGATCAGGAAATTTGGAGCTTAAATTTGAGTAGATGCTTTACAAGTGCGGCAGAAGAAGTTACCCTGTGGCTCTTGTCAGATCCAAGAGCAACGGTTGGAGATCGACATGGTCAGGGACGAGTACAAATACAAAATACAAAAAATTCTCAGTTTGAAAAGAGTACAAATACAAAAATGTACAGTACAAATATATACAAAATAATATAAAATACAAATAGGTACCATGACCCACCCTGACTCAACCGTTTTCACTTGACCCCAATGAGTGACTTGATCCATATTGACCCACTGTGGGTGGGGGTCAAATGGGTTAGGGTCAAAATTACTAGCAGTGGATGCAAGGGAATCACTTCTTGAATGATATTGGAGTAAGTACCAAGTACATAAGTCACAGAAAACAAGAACCTTCAGAAAATGCTCAAGGGATGTTAATTTGGAGTAAATATGCTTGGAGTTCTTGGCTATCTGCCTAAGAGGCACCACTAAGACGGTCCATCAATTTATTCCCCTTCAGCTAATGAACTCCATACATAAAAAATATACACATTTTCATGGGTTGAAAAAAAAAATGCTGTTGAAAGATCCCATTTCATTTTTTTTTTCTGCTATCTGCAATATCCTATAAGAGCGTTTAAAAAAAAAAATGCAACACACCTTTTCATGGATTTTCCTAAGGGTGTTTTCAAAAAAAAAAAATGCTGTTGAAAGATCCCATTTTCATTTTTTTTTTCTGCTATCTGCAATATCGTATAAGAGCCTCCAAAAGATCTTTTTGTTACAGAAAACACTTTGGTTCTACCAGTTTTATCACTTGCTCTTTCAAATTCAGTGTACTTGATGAGATAAACTCGATAAATTTGACTTGATGACAAACCCTATGCTTTTCATTTTAGAGAAGCGGTTCACCTTGGATCATGCCACACCAATCCTTTTCTTTGTCCTTCCTTTTTGATCAGTCACAAGATTTCACTGATGATCAATTTGGAAGAGGGGATGTGCATGCTCCCTAGTGAGAGATAAATCTACAAGCAACTTAAACAACATCAAGAAGATGGAAAGCTAATCCCTGAAGGTTAGCAAAGAGAACGTATAATGTAAAAAGGGAAAAAGGCGTATGCCAAAGCGTCATCCTAAGTGCTAGGTTAATAGCCTCCTCAATATGATAATTTAAAAGCCAGGGACCCTTGGACAATGTCGGCTTTCATCGGATGACCACCTGTGTCACCCTCGTCCATCCTCCCCAGTCCAAGAGAAAAGGCCAGCCCATGCACTCACACGTAAGGAGCATTCTACAAACCTAGCAGATCCCCCATTTCTGAGTAAGCTCTCTTCAAATTGGAAATTAACATTTCTATTGATAAGAGGAGGGGGGAGTCTTTAATTGAAGGACCACCTGGAAGAATATGAAAGTGTCTTCTATGGTCGTTTGGGGGGTATGGTCCATGGCATTCTTTTGTTGCCAGGGTCCAAAGGCCATGCATCTCAAGGCCTTCCAGGAGAGATGTCCTATCCTAAAAAAGGAACCTCTTTCTCCCTTCCTATGTGACCTACATCAGTGTATGTATGATAACTTTCCAATAGATCTTTCTACTATCTCCAACCAAATCAAATAACAAAGCTTCTTGTGTAATTGATTCCAGTCCCACCAGTTCCAAGGAGAGAGAAGGGAAATCTTAAGCATGAGCACTCCTTGAGAAAGTGGGAACCATGTCAATACAACCTTCTATGTAATGACAAGAAGCAACGAATACCATCCTTCAACAACTGCCTCCACAGATACTATTCCTTGGTCAATATTAGATGTGCCACTAGAATGCTCACCAAGCCAATCAGCAAGATGTATTCAAAGCTAGTCCACAGGTCCAAACAACTCCCCTCCCCCACCCCCCCTTCCAATTTGGTCATGGGGTGAACAGAGCCTCTAGAAACCCCTTTAGTTGTCTCGAACATCCAAGCAATCCAAGTAAACAGTGTTCAATCTGTGGACAAACCAAAACTACAAGATGAAAGTCTATCCATATAATGGCTCTTTATTTTCCTTGAAAATAATCATTACAAACCATTATTATAGGCCTTTGTACTAATCTGTGCAATTGTCCAGTGATGTACATAAAGTTGTTTCAATGCAAAAAATACATTAACTCCTTTGTCATTTATATCTAGATGGATTCAGAGAAAGGAGTGATAGAAGAGTAAGGGTGTGGCTGTGCTCTGTCTCAAGTACAAGTGGTCAAATAATGAATATCTATCGAGATCATCAGTATAACTATTAAGCTGTATGTTTTCAGCTTATGCAGAGCATAGCACCTCGGGTACTAATGGAAATAGAGTTCAGACATACAGGTCAGACCCTAAATATGCGACAGGTTAAACCATTATTTAGGAAACAGGGAGGTTTCAAGTCAAATCCTAATTCAGGGATCAAGCCAAGATTACATTACCCAACCTTCATGGAAATTCACTTGCTTTAATTCCTCAATGATAAATTCAATCTGGAAAATTTCTTCCCCATGTAGTTGCAGACCCCAAAAGGATTCATCACTGGAAAGCACTTAACTACCAGAACACTTTTAACAACCATATAAGAACATTAAATTCCTTCCTTACCAAGAAAAATAAGGGGAAGACATGATACTATCGAACCTGAACAATTCATGATTCTTGTATCATTAAGCTTGAATGTGAAAACCTGATTGCATATCAATTTGAAGAATATTATTTCCTTTACTTAATTTGAAGACATATCCAGAATAACAATAGAAAATGATCCATCAATTTTATGTTATGATAAAAAAGACGAAATAACTAATAGTTATCTTCATTAGCCACGTAATGATATTTAAAAGCTTCTGAAGTTTATGTATATCTATGCTTTCCTAAAGTAGAATATGACTTGCATTGACTGAATAATGTTATTCAACAGCTAATTTTTTCTTTCTTTTATCTTTTCCCATTTTATTTGGATCAATAAAGTGAGTGTATCAGTAATAAAAAATGTATATGTTATAAGAAGTAGGGGATATACCACACTTTACTCCAAGGGCTCCCCTATACACAATGTACAAATAAATATCCTTATTTGGGTAAGGAAAGAGAACAGACCACAAAATTCCCTCTCTGGCAAATGACTAAAGAATCATCAGATCTTTGAAGGGCCATTTGATCTGTTTCTCATACTATCTATCACAATCTAAGAGTATTCTCAATAATGAGTTTTTGAAAACCTATGGGTTCAGATATTCCTGTGATTAGGGTTCCAAATGGATCAGATTGAATCAGATATACCTAGATCCAAATTTGATTTGTCAATATTTGGATTCAAATCAGATACTGAACAGCATTAATAGATTAAACTAACAATAATTAAAATATTATATTTTATTAATAAAATGAACTAATCATGACTTTGATATTGTTTATCATGAACAAAATGAATTGAAAATAACTTGTATGAAACTTAAACTGATGACTTTTAGTAAAAAGATAACATTCAAACCAATTTTACTAAGGGGTTGATCTATATAAGATCCAATTATAAATGGATTGGATTCACTGTTAATCAGAATGAATTCGAATTCGAATTCAAATTTGAACTTGGACAAATGAATGCTGCTTGCAACCCTAAGAGTGCTTGAAACATTGACAATAACTCGGCCTTTTCAGAGTTACTCAATCCTAACATCTATCCCCATGTGTATGGGCAACATTAGGGCCTTTGAGTAGCATTCATTTAATAATAAATAACATGCGTTGAGCAATAAATTTAAGAAACAGAACCAACTCATCCTTTATTATAACAAGTAACAACAAGAACCTACTGAACAAAGATGAAAGGAAACAAGTAAAAGCACAACTAGATCTGTGCATTTTTCACAGTTACAAAGCCTATAATTAGATGCCATTCAACATGATGCTAAGGGCAATGCCAGGAGAATATAAAGAGCTAACCAAACAGAACCTGAGAGCTTGAGGGTGTTAAGTCAGAGAAGGCTTCTGGTGCATCCACCAGTTGCCATTGAACAAAGAAGCTGGACTTCTCCCTGGAGGTACAGCTGGGTCTTATCCACCAGATATGACCAACAGCTATATGAAGGTTAAGACCTACAACATAGATCTGATGATCACTTGAACTTACAGAGAAAGGTTTGCATATCTGCTCTGGTAGAGGGGAACCAGAAACTGTGTCCCAAGAATCAGTTTCAACATCATAAACCTTCAACTTCATCCTCTCATGTTCAGAAACCACGAACAAGTGCCCTTCAACCACCACACTTGACCCCGTCCACCCTTCCCTAAGCCCAACAGACATACTTTCCCACTTGTCTGATCTAGGATCATAGACCTGGCCCCTTGGAGAGAATAAGAAAGGCCAAACCCAGCCTTCAGTCACAAAAAGCTTGTCATTGAGAACTGCTGCATCATAAGAAACCATGTTAATGCTCATGCTTGCAACGGGGTGCCAATTCCCTTTGACAGGGTCAAGGACCTCAGCAGAATCAAGCTCAAAAAGATCTGTGCTGTTCCCTCCAGCCACATAGACCATCCCATCAATCACTCCACTGGCAAAGAATGACCGTGCAGTGAGCATCTTGTTCATAACAGTCCAACGATTTCGTTGTATTTCATATTTTAGTACCAAGTCAAAGGGGCAATCCATATCAGATACCATGCCCCCGCAGACAAAAAGGGTGCCTTCAGAAGGAATGGAAGCACACCTAAATCCATGGGGACACACACGGTCCTTGCAAGGCATGGCTGGAATTGTGTGCCAAGAGAAGTGGGTGAGGTCAAGGACCAGCCATTGGATCTTCCCAGTGCATTTGTGGAAGGCAAAGACAAAGAGCCAGGGATCCTGAAAACCTAGCTCTTTTCTTCTGGTGAAGAACCTTTCCTTGTTACCTAGTAGCAGATGCCATCGCTTACAGACAGCTCTGCAGGCGGGGTGGCTTTGTACTGGCAGCCGGAGGAGGCAGTTGATAGCAATATCATCAGGAAGGCCGGGGATGAGAGGCTCTCCATGCAGAGCTAATTCTGCATCCGATGATGAACACATCAAAGATGATGATTGGCTTACAGCCACTCTGAACTTGGGTGACAATGTCATTTGTGAATTTCCTAACTTGTGTACTGGAGACTGATAGGATGAAACTCGAACTCGCTGCATCTTTCCCGTTCAAAGGTTATAAATAATTCAAGCACACAGAAATTTGCTCACCTTGGGGAGGTGAGGTATGTAAATAACGATTATATTCTGGTGATTTATACTATTAGGTTGAGAACTCAAAACTAAGAAAACCAATCTACTTATTAAACAATCAGTAGCTAGAATCCTTTACCCATTCCTCTGTTTTCCATTATCTATCTTCTCTCCATAAAGTCATAAACAGAAATTTTCATAACTGAAATCTGAAAAACAGCAACACAAGAACCAACTCCTTTTCAATATCCCCCGTTAAATCATGACAAGTGATTCAGTTCCAAGCTGTCAAAAGAAACAAATATAACAAATTCGAACTCAAAATTCGAAGTTCACATACCCAATAGAAATGCATCTCAATTCTCTTCGGAAACTCGGCTTCATACGTTTCACCTTATCAAAATTCCACGCAAGAACTGATGACAACAAAAAATGGATGCTTCTTTTCCTATGCCCCAGAAATTCACACAAAAATGACCATAGAAGTATCTGATGATTCTCGTCCTTCAAAATCGAAAAGACCCACAAAAGGTTTCTTTCTCCAGCCTTCCAAAATACCCAAATGAAAAATCTAAATCCCAACCAACTTACAACCTTCAATATCTTTGAATTTGAGCCTAGAAATCAGGTATTAACAAGAAACAACACCAATACCAACTAATTTCACTTTCCTGCAAAAACCCGCCTCACGTAACAACACACAAATCAATTTTCACAAAAATGAATTTTCCCTTCTATGTTGTACATACAAAATTAGAACCCATGAGACCAAAAAACCCAAAAGCTGCAATACATCCAATTGCTTAGAAATTAGTCCCACAAATTTGACAAATCCAATACCGAAAATCTAGCTAGAAAAGATGGAAAGAGTCAGATGATTATTATACCAGAAATCATTCGATAGCAAACCATCTGAACTCACAAGCCGGTGATGCTACCACAAGTTCAGGAAGCCAACCAATTCGACCCTCAGGAGCAAGGAAGAGAGTATCAATCAGACGTTAGTCCCCTGCAAAGGACCACATCCTTATCGCTAATGGAGCCATGAAGGGTCCAAAGGGTGGGACCCCATGGAAGGTAGCATCTTGGCCAAGAATATGATTTCGTCAAATGGTGAAAATCGTCTAACAGAAACACATTAGAAAATCATTTTCTACTGTTTTGTTTTGGCACCCGAACATGGAATCGACAAGACGTTGTTGTTGGACTAGGATCGGACCGGACGGTCGAACCAAGACCGGCAGTCCAAAACAGTTTTTCTTGCAAAATAGTTTCAAAAATAAAAGATAACTTCAAATTATTTTTGTTTTTATTTTCTTACTTTTTTTTTATTTAAACAAGTCAATAACGACACCGGATGATTGATCTATTCAACCCGTTACCTAATGACTCGTCAAAAAAAAAAAAAAACCCGTTACCTAATGACTAAACCAAACCGGCCTTAGCCCAGGTCTAGGTTTGACAACGACCACATGTTTGTGGTTGATAAAGCGACGAGGATGAATGGCTAGTAAACTGGTTTAAAGCAACTTGGATTCCTTCCACAGATTCGGTGGAAAACAACGTAGACAAGGACTCCGCAACAAAATGACGGAGACCGGATCCCTTTCAAACAAAAACTCTGCATAATTTATTTAGGACTCCGCAATAACAAAATAACGTGTATGTCCACGTCTAGACCTGATCATGCGCCGGGCTTTTTCTCTTCATTAATTGGATTTTTTCGGGCCTAAGCCCGAGTCCGGCTTGACCAACGGGCCTACAACTTGAGCCTGAGTCCGGCCCTTATAAAAAGCCCAAAGCTCAAGTCCGAGCCTGAAGCTCAACCTAATAAAGGCTGAAATGCATGATTTGTACAATGTTGAGAAATGTAGGACTCACCGCTAGACCTATTCATGGGCCGGGTGGCCCGATGGGCCGGCCTGGCCCGACCCGGCCCCCGAACGGGCTTGAACAGGCTTTTTGGCCCACGGGCTTAATCTTGGGCCAAAAAGCCCGGTCCGCATAAAATTCGATCTGGGCTCGGGCATTGCCAAAATAGCCTGGCCCGAGCCCGACCCGACCCAACCTATAGTTAAACCTAAGTAAAAACCCTATGTGATGTCCATTTGAATAAATTTTTTGATTTATGAAGGTTGTTGATTCACTTGTAGGCCCATTGTTCATTTAAATAGGGGAAAAAAACATCTGAATTAAAATAGATAATGTCCATTTGAATAGGGAAAAATTCGAATTTCTTTTATTAGGTCGGGCTTCGGGCTTTTTATCAAGGCCGGGCTCGGGCCCAAGTTGTAGGCCCGTTGGTCGGGCCGGGATCGGACTCGGGCCTAACATTTTTATGTTAATAAAGAGTAAAAGTAAAAGCCCGGCCCGAGCCCGGCCCGACCCGGTCCATGAACAGGTCAACTCACCACCGGAGAGAGGGGCAACAAAGTTCATTGGTGGCGCGGCTGGCACCGATGCCAGAGTTCGTCGGTGCTTGAGTTCGCTAGTTCCTGAGAATATGCGACAATGCATGAGAATGAGAACCGTGAGAAAGACGAGAGAGAGAGGACTGGTGGAGAGAGAGAAAGAGAGAGAGAGAGAGAGAGAGAGAGAGAGAAAACTCACCGCCGAAGAGAGAGATGACTGGTGCCTGAGCTTGCATGTCGCCTCTAAGACTGAGAACAATGGCTGCCTGCCTGGGTTCATGTTGGTTCTTAAGAGTGAGAGTGAGGAGAGAAGATAAAAGATAAAAAGAGGGAATAGGAAAGGGTTAATCGGCTAGGGTTTAAAATAAATTACAAAATGTCGGGCTGGGCTTTTGTGACTGTGATAGAACAGGAATTGGAAGAAATTGATATTTTTCAATTGAGAAAATAGTACATATATATATAGCCTTGTAGATACTAAAAAAGGAAGAAAATCAAAGAAAGAGTAATTCATATAATCAAGCTATTCCTAATTGGGGTAATACTACATATTTACAGCCTATAATTACAACCTATAATCTCGTAACACTCCCCCTCAAGATGGAGCATAGATGTCAATCATGCCCARCTTGTTACAAATATAAGAAACCCGAGCTCCATTAAGAGCTTTTGTAAAGATATCTCCTAACTACTCTCCAGTCTTCACATATGCTGTAGAGATCAAGTTTTGTTGAATTTTCTCACAAGCAAAATGACAGTCTATCTCAACATGTTTAGTTCGTTCATGAAAAACTGGATTCGAAGCAATATGAATCGCAACTTGATTATCGCACCATAGCTTCG